GGAATTCTGAAGTTGGGTTTTAGAATAACTTTTGAAAAAAATGCTTTATGCCAGCATTTATAATGGAATTGGATTGGAAGCAAACTTTCCAGTGTTGGTTTTTGTCTCACTTGGTTGGTTTTTTGTACCGTGCCTGCACACTGTACTGTTTTCCAGGTATTGATCTTATGCACGCTTATGTTTTGTTATGATACTTGTACTTTCACTGTTCAAGGCTGGCATCCACTCGTCTCTTGTCCTCATTTTGTATCTGAATTTTCTTAAGTGTTTTCACTTAAGAAAATTAATTAAAATTTTACTGCAGATCTTGAATTTACTTAAAATAAAAATCACATTGTCCCTGTGACATCGGGGAAGTACACTTAGGAGCAGCTTAAGTGGTAATATTCTACATTCATTCCATATGTTTGCATCTCAATTGAACAAAGTTCAATTTCTAAAATTAAAATAACTCAAATAAAAACTTGTTACAACTACAATATGTAGAAGAGCATCTCTGAATATATAATATACATTGACCCAGATGTGCTACAGCAGCAGAAGACCACACTGGATGCCATTCCGATCAACAGATCAAGAAACTGAGGCAGCAGTTTGCACTACATAGTTTGGACAACTGAAGACTGGAAAATGCTGTCAGTTCATATTATTCTTGAGTTCTGCTGCCATACTTGGATGGCAGGGACATGATGCCAGATGTTAGAATTGGGTATAGACAACATGAAAGGATGGATCGATCCATCCTTGTATCAACAGTTCATGGTGCTGTTGGTGGTGTAATGGTGTGGGGGATATTTTCGTGGCAAAGTTTGTGACCCTCAGCACCAACTGCGCATCCTGAGTATTGCTTTTGACTATGTGCATCACTGTAGAGTTTCCATCTTCTGATGGCTGATTCCAGCAGGAGCACCCACCATGTCATAGAGTTCAAATCACCACACACTGTTATTTTTACATGACAAGCTCAATGTGCTGAAACGGCTTCCACAGCCACCACAGCCTAAATCCACCAGACCAGCTTTGGGATGTGGCTGAACTGGAGGTTTGTCTTTATGAATGTGCTGCCACCGGAGCACATTCATACTGTGCCCCGTTACTGGAGCTGGAAAGTGAGTTATTCAGGAGAACTCTCCCCAGCATTAACTGCCCTGCTACTGTACCACCTTAATAAACCATGTTGAGGAAAAACATCTTGTGCTTAAGAGTCTGTGTGAAAGTTACTGCATATATGTTCAGTGCAGACAGATATATAGTGCATATGGTTATATAGGTATACATGTCATCCAAAAGTCCCCCCGCCCCCCCCTTTCCTGTCACTCTTCATTATATCTATCAAAAAGGGACCCAATATAATTATTCTTTAAAGAAAATGAATGTGCAGCCACCAAATCTACAGCAGCTGCACGATGCTATCACATCAACATGAACCAAAATAACTGAGGAGTGTTTGCAGCACCTGTTGAAAGTTAAAGTGGGTCCAACACAGTATTAGTGAGGCATAATGGCTAAAGTCTCCTGTTAGTACAAAGTGTATAATATGTAGCAGTGGTGTACATTAATGAGTCCAAGAAGAAAAACAAATAAAAATAGTAACAATAACAATAAAAATAAACTTTCTGTCACTTTTGGCAAAAACCAGCAGTCATTTAGTCAAAGTAGAAATTTCTGTCACCATTTGCTGTGTTGTGCTTTGAACCATTTTCTGGCAGTCTAGATTTCAAGCAGACTCCTGATAAAGATCAGACTTGGGGACGTACAGGAAACAACACTTTTTTTTCTCTTTCTGTTCTCATCATTAGCGGACTGCAGAACTTTTGATAGTTAGTTCATTTCTGCACATCTAAAGGGATCACATCAGTAAACGGGGAAAGGGAGCCTTGAAGTGTAATTCCTGACTGGACCTGGTTGGAAGAGCCATCACTGAGATATCACAATGTCAGGTAATTATCTTTCAACATTAATCCACAATTTAGACAATTTAAAGTGTCATGTTTTACAGAGCTCTTGGAAATTTACTTGGGTTATAAAGTGTAGTGTTCAAAGCTGCACGCATTGTCACAGAGATCTAAAACCAAATGCTGTGACTGAAACTATGTCAAAGCTACTTCATGATTTCTAATTTCATCTTTAATCTAGAGATCTTATTTTTACTGTTGTTTTTTTAATAGTAGTTAAAAACAACACAACACTGCCACAATGCCTTAATACAACTTTTACAAGTGCTGTTATCTCCATCCATGTATCTGCTACTTTCAGAATAATAATGGTAATATTGTAAAATCATGGTAATAGTGTTAAAACCTTTCATCACATCCAAAACAATGCTTACATTAAAAATTACAATAACACAGATAAACAAACCCAATAGTTGATCGTAGGTTTATTATGGAATACCATCCTCGTCTAATAATTTTAATCCCAACAAAACCAGTTATCAGATTTGTTACAATAATGGTGCAGGTTTAAATCATAGACAGTGTGAAGAAGATTTTAATCCTATCTTTTAAAAAGAAGCATTTTATGGATTAACGATGTTCCCAAGAGGGAGTACCAATGAGCACCAATAGGTGGCAAAGTCACCCCCACTGTCAACTGCCTGGGGGGCCAAACCAGCAGATGTGAATGGATTATTTGTGGTGCTCATAGCAAAGGAAAACCTCCTTTAAAACAGAAACATGTCATCAGCAATAGGTTGGCAATTCAGGCTGCACTTGATAAGGGTTGAAACGGCATTACGAAACCAAACCTAACACTTTGATGCAATGAGCATTCAAAAATAAATCCAGTTAACCTCCAACGGCAGCATGTGTTTACAGCAGTAAAGAAGTCTTTGATATACTGTTTTGCATCTTATTTGTCGTAGCCTGTGCTGAAATTAATATAAATAATAATGTTAATAACAAATCTTTCTCTCTCTTTCTGCAGGAGAAAACACCACACCCTATGATTATTCATTTTACTATGAGTTTTCTAACGACACAGACCGTTCTCCTACCTACATAGGTGATGTAAAGGACTTTAACAAAGTGTTTCTCACCACTCTCTACAGTTTGGTTTTCATCATGGGCTTCATAGGTAGGTGTGTCCTCTTGTGTGTATGCTGTGGAGATTATGAGTTTCTACACATTGCACAGACCTCCTTTTCTGGGAATTTCCAACTTGAGAATTTTTACCTATGCATGCAGGTGTGTGTATGTGAGACACAAATGAAATGCAAAAGAGAGAGAATGTTGTTCAACATGTAATAGTGTCACAGGTACACATATTATGTCTTTTCTGCCAAAGGTAACGGGCTAGTGGTGTGTGTCCTGGTGAAGCACCGGTATCAGAGCAACTTGACAGACATCTGCCTCTTCAACCTGGCTCTCTCTGACCTCCTCTTCGTCTTCACGCTGCC